TCCGTCAAACTTCTCCATCGAATACTGAGGCAAGCATCTATCATTTGACGCTTTGTACATTAAGAGACATATTTTAAAAATTATTCTTCTCTGAACATTTAACCAATGAAGGTCATTTAAAATCGGTGTTGCATAATCAAACTTTAAGGCACCTACAACAGTTTTAGCTGCTCTATTTTGAATAGACTGAAGAATGGCAACTGATTTCACCGGTAGACTATTATTGCAATAGGCTGTTGCGATAGTCCAATCGAGAGTGAACGAATGTATGTATCAGAGTTTGCATTATAGACCTGTCTAATGATTTGCCAACACGGCAAGTGGTAGGTACAGTAGCACAATGAAAGCATTTAAAGATGATTTTTCAATGATAATCTTGAATCTTAAATACATCCCAGAATAGACAGTTCTTTACAAAATTTTATATTTTCTCCATTTACATCAATTGAATTTATATTCATTTTCAAGTGCCGATGGTGGTGTTGGGGTAAAGTAAGTAAAGTTGACATCGCAACCTTTGTTTTTAAAGAGTTGCTTGTTTATTATGTTATGAATGGCATGGGGTATAATATTATATAATTTATAATATAACTTTCACCAACATAATCATTCAATTCATCACTAATTATTCACCTATTAATTCACTGTTCCCTCATTTATTTCTTCACTCACTCATTCGTTCATTCCATCCATCCATCCATCCATCCATCCATCCATCCATCCATCCATCCATCCATACATCCATCCATCCATCCATCCACTAAACCTCCTCCAGCCTCATCATCTCCAGCTTCAACCCCTCTCCATCCTTCATCATCTCCCCGATCTGCTCTTTCAATTTTGAGATACTGTCCAACTGATCCTCAATAACCTTTCAATGATATAATACCATTTTAATAATAAAAGATTAAGACGATTATTATTATTATCATTATGAATATAATTATTATTATTTTTAGTAGTAGTAGTAGTAGCAGTAGTAGTAGTAGTAGTAGTAGTAGCAGCAGCAACAGCAGCAGTAGCAGTAGTAATAGAAGTAGTAGCAGTAGCAGAAGCAGTAGTAGTAATAGTAGCAGCAGCAGCAGTAGTAGTAGTAGTAGCAGCAGCAGTAGCAGTAGTAGTAGTAGCAGCAGCAGCAGTAGTAATACTTTATTTTTTATCCTGACAGTATCCTCTGCGCTAGATAGACTCTCCTTTAATTCCTTTATTTGTTCATTCAATCGCTCAATCGTCGCCTCGAATTTCTTTTTTTCTTGGAGATAGTTAGAACTCTGTGTGTGTGTTTGTGTATGTGTGTGTGTGTTTTTGTTTGTTTGTTTGTTAGTGTGTGTATGTGCGAATGTTTGTGCATGCATGCATCCATGTATGAACGAACGAACGAACGAATGAATGAACGAACGAACGAATGAATGAACGAACGAACGAATGAATGAATGAACGAATGAATGAACGAATAAATGAATGAATGAATGAACGAATGAATGAACGAATAAATGAATGAATGAATGAATAAATGAATGAATGAATGAATGCATGAATAACTAAATAAACAAAAGAAAGTATAAATGAATGAATGAAAACCATCCAAACCTGTCTACCCAACTCTCCATCCCAAACATCCTTTTCTTCCCTCAGTGCGGAGATGATGGACTGAAGAGATTCAATCCTTGCACTCATTTTCACGTTATCCAATTGCATCTGCTTATCCCTCACAACCGACTGATCAATTGTGGATAATTTATTTTCCAAGATTTTGATCCGGGATTGAAGTTCCTTCGTCTGCTGGGATTTCGAAGTGGATAGCTCTGATATCCTGGCTTCATGTGATGGATGGATGATTGGTTGAGTGCTTGGTTGGTTGGATGTATTGTATTGCATTGTATTGTATTGCATTGTATTGTATTAGTTGATTATATGATTGGTTGGTTGGTTGATTGGTTGATTTGGTAGTTTGATTGGCTTGTTATTTGGAATGATTAGATAATTGATATTTTCTGCGGCCATTCAACCAATGAAAGAGCTAGTCAGTCATCAACAGATCAAAAAATTTAATTAATTTTCCAACAATTCACTAACCAATTAACTGATCATTCAACCAACCAAACAACTAATCAACCAACCAACCAAATAACAAACCAACCAATCATCCAACCAATCATCCAACCAACCATCCAACCAATCAACCAACTAATCAACCAACCAATCATTCATCCAACCAACCATCTAACCAGCCATACAGCTAACTAACTTTTTTGTTCCTTGCACAGAGCGTTCAACTCGGCCAGAAGCGTCAAATTTTTTTCAAATTTTTCTTTCAGATCGATATTTTTCTTCTTAAAATCGCGCAACTCGCTTTCGGAACATTCCAAAGACTTTTTTAATATGCAAAACTTGCCCATCTCTACTGTCAGCGCATCCCTGAATTCAGACTCCAAGTCGGTATACGATTTTCGAGAGTCGGTCAAACTGCGTCTGAGATCCGAGTTCTCAGTGCTTAAGATTAAAAGTTTTTTCAGAAGTTCGGTCGGTTTTGTTGTTGTTGTTGTTGCAGAATGTTGTTGTTGTTCTAATTCTTCTTTTATGTTGTTGTCGTTGTATGGTTGTTGTTGTTGTTGTTGCTGTGATGATGTTGTAACTGTCGTTGGGCCGATGTGTTGAGCGACTGTTGTGGCCAAAACTGATTGTAGTTCTTCAACCTGTCGAATGGACCAATTGAAAATATGATTAAAATAATTTCATCTTTCTTTCTCACTCTCTCTCTCTCTTCCTCTTTTTTTTCTCTCCCTCTTACTCATAAATGAATGAATGAATGAATCGGTCGGTCAGTTAGTCAGTTAGTCAGTTAATCATTCATTCATTCATTCATTCATTCATTCATTCATTCATTCATTCATTCATTCATTCATTCATTCATTCATTCATTCATTCATTCATTTGATTATCCACCCATCCATCTATCAATTTACTCTACCGCTCATCAATCTATTCATTTTTAAAACTCCTTTTATCCTTCACTCATTTCATCCACTTATTTTTTCATTCATCCATTTATCCATCCATCCATTTATGCAAAAATTAACCTGCACGTGACTGGCGGCCAGTTGACCTTTGGTGACCTCAAGGTCGCGTTCCGTTGTCGCCAATTTCACTTGCAAGCCTTGTAGTTGGCGTTTTAACGTCTGCTCGTTTGTTGCTCTGCTGGCAAGATGATGATGAGGTAGTAAAAAAAAAAGAGAGAGAGAGAGAGAGAGAGAAAGAGAGAGAGAAATAGGACAAGAGTAGAACAAGAGAGGAAGAGAAATAGATGGGAAGAGAGAGAGAGAGAGAGAAAGAGAGAGAGAGAGAAGAAGACAACAACAACAACAACATCAACAACAACAACAACATCAACAACAACAACAACAACATTAACAACACCAACAACATTAACAACAACAACAACATTAACAACAACATCAACATCAAGAACAATAGCGACAATGACGATGCGACGACATCAAGAACAACTCTACAAAACTAAAAACGAACTTCAGCAACAGAATTCTTTCATTTTCAACTTTCATTCTCTCCATCCTGGCCTCCATGTTTTTGCATTCTTCCCTAACTTTTTCCAACTTCTCGGCCGTCATCATTAATTCCACTTTTAATCTGGATATTATTTCTATGTTTTCATCTCGCTGTTGTTGTTGTTGTTGCTGATGCTGTTGCTGGTTTTGTTGTTGTTGTTGATGTTGTTGTTGATGTTGTTGTTGTTGAAGTTGTTGTTGATGTTGCAACAACAATTCTTGATATTTTTTTCTTAGCAAAGTTGCTCCCTGCAATTTTTTAAAAATTTTTCTTGGAACGATTATTTTGTTGTTGTTGTCGTTGTTGCAATTTGGCGCTTTGTGTTGTTGTTGATGCTGTTGTTGTTGAAGATGTTGTTGTTGTTGAAGACGTTGTTGTTGTTGTTGTCGTTGATTTTGTTGAAGATGTTGTTGTTGTTGTCGTTGATGATGATAATGTCTTCGTTGTTGTTGTTGTTGTTGTTGTGATAGTTTTGCTTTTGAAAATTTATCGCTATTACGTAAATTTATCAGAGACGACGAAGACGATGAAGATGAATAAATATAAGCAACGTTGTCGTCATCATCATCATCATCATTATTATTATTATTATCGTTATTATTATTACTGCTATTATTATTATTGTTATTATTATTTGGTGGCGGCTTTTGTAGGTAACTGGGGGTTGGGCTTTTAGCCATCAGTAATTCATTCAACTTCAATTCAATGCTTTTGATTTGTGATTTCAGTTGTTCATTTTCTTTGCTCATGAGTTTGGAATCTTTTTGAATGTTGTCGTCGTTGTTGATGTTGTTGATGTTGTTGTTGATGTTGTCGTTGTTGTTTGTCGTTCCTTTCGTTGCAGTTGTGCTGGTAGCAATGTTGGATTTTTGTTGTGGCTTCTGTTGTTTTTGTTGTTGATGTTTTTGTTGAATAAAATGCGGCTTTAGTTGTTGTGGATGAGTTGTTGACTGTTTTTGTTGATGGTGATTTTTAGATTGTTGTTGTTGATGTTGTTGCTGATGTTGTTGCTGATGTTGTTGTTGATTTTGCTGATGTTTTTCTTGTTGATTTGTAGATTGTTGTTCTTCATTTTTAGACAAATCTTTCTCAGCAACCATCCTGATATTTTTCATCATCATAATCCTTTCCAAGTCGCTGGAATCAGAAGATACTAAATATTCATGATATGATTCATCGATTTCTTCATCTTCCTTCATTCCTCTAACTATACTTTGCCTATTTCTTAACAGCTGGCCGTCTAAAGTCAATAAATTAGGGATGTACTGAAGAATTGTGCTAGGATAATCTGGGTTTTGACAAATTGGATTTTCAAATTTATCGATTAATTGTTTGTTATTGTTGTGGGTTGGAGGTAATTTTGATTTATTTGTTGAAAAATTCTCATCTATTGAATTAATATGATTATTTGATTTTAAATTTAAATGTTGTAAATTAATTAACAAAACCAAAATACTGGCTATGTGTCCTATTGAGGTTAAATTATTTCCCGATAAGTCTAAACTTTTTAATCTTGATTCCCTACCCCCAAGAGACTTTAATCCGCCTAATTCACTAATTTTATTGTAGGACAGATTTAGAGTTTTTAAATTTTGTAACGTCTGAATGTTCTCAATACATTCGATTTCATTATTTGAGAGGTTGAGTTGTTTCAGGGAGGTTAAACATTCAAGACCCGATATCTTTTTAATGTTATTTGAGGAAAGGTTTAGAAATTGTAACTGCTTACAGACGTGCAATCCTTCGATTTTACTAATTCGGTTCGAGTGGAGGTTTAAAGTCTCCAACTCTGGTCCCAGACGAAGTCTCAGGATTGAAGTCACGTTCGAATTTATCACGCATAATTCTTTTTCGTTGAAATTTGCCGACATTTTGTAATGAAAAATATTAATTTGAATTATTAAAATGATGAAAATTTTAAATTAGACATTTTATTCCTCAGTTAATTAAATAAATTCGAAATGTGGAATTAGTTTCGAAACACCTGTTGTTTAATTTAGTTGTCATGGAAATTAATTATTTAAAAGTAAAGTTTAATATCAGTTTTATTCAATTAATAAATGACATTTGTTAATTTTTTTTAAATTTTTAAAATTTATTTTTTAAATATCATTAAAAAGTGCAAATTGTAAAAAGTAACAAATTTTTCAAAAAGCAGATTTAACTTTCCATCCCCACAAAAACTAAAGTTCACTTTTTAATATCTTCGATTCAAAATTTAAAAGTTTTTCATAAAGAATATTTACAGAAAAATCGTCTTTAAAATAATTTATATAAAAAAAATCATATTTCAAACAAAATGGACGACGAAAAAGACAATTTAATTGATGTCCTGTCGGCAAAAGTTAAGAAGCTTCTAAAGGAGGTTTTCCAGGTTCACATGGAATTATCAATAGGTAAGAACAATTTTTTAACTAATAAATTAGAATTAAATTAGGATATTAGGTATTCTTGAACCACGTGGCCGTCCGTTGATTTCCTCCAACTTCTCTTTCTTTTCCCACTTTTCACTTGTTTTAAGTTTTAACATTTCCAGAGTTTTTAAAAAGATTTAAAATTTTAAGATTTAATTAATTAAATATATTAAAGTTACAATTTCAAACTCTACTATTCCCTACTAACTAAAGCTAAAATAAACTAAACTTATCTAAACTTGTTAACAACCTTTTAATTAAATTTAAACTTTGGCAGTTAATTTAAAGTTTAGATAAATTTCCTGAATTTTGAAAGATAGAAAGTTTTATTTTAAATTATATTATTAAAATTATAAAAATAAATAAATATGAATGAAGGAATAAATAGTTTTAAATTTAAACAAATAAATAAATAAACTTCCATATTTCAATAAATGAATAAATCTAAATTATTCTAAATGACTCATCTCTGGTCTACTCAACGGCGTATGATGTAGAGACAAAGAATTTTGGTGTAGATAAATATGTTATAGGCCAGAAAAATTTTTTTTTTCAAATTCTGCTGGCTTTTTATTTTTTAATTAATTAATTTTTAATTTTAATATTTTAAGATCATTTTAATTTTTATTTTAGAGACCAAAAAATGGAAGAAGAAGTACAAGAAGAAATCAGAAGAGTTGGACAAGTACAAAATTCTCCCTCTCTTTCTTTTCTCTCTCTCTTTTTCTCTCTCTCTTTCTAGGTTTCTCTCTTTCTCAGTTTCTCTCTTTCTATTTCTCTTTTTATTTTTCAATATTATTAAACTAATTATTTAAAACATAATTCTACAAATGTTGTTCTTAGCAAGTAAGTAGATTACGTAATTCTTTTACAACATTTCATTTGTATTCTTAGTTTCCGGCATGAGTCGAGTCGTCCGGTCTCTAGTCCAACTAGAGGCAAATGCAACGACAGCGGCAACCACACTGGCCTCGCAAAAGTCTATGACATCACCATTCCAGATGTTAGGATTGAGGCAAAGATGTCGTCATCATCATCATCCTCATTTATATCATTACCATTATCATCTTGTTCATCATCGTCATCATTACCATCATCTTCTTCATCATCATCTTCATTGATATCATTACCATCATCTTCTTCATCATCTTCATCATCGTCGTCTGTGTTTAAAAAACCACAAGTTACATCTTCAGTTCTTAATCATAGAGAGAAATTATCATCACCACCACCGTCATTAAAACCATCATCATCATTTTCACCAAAAACATCTTCATCATCATCATTACCAAAAACATCTTCATCATCATCATTATCAACGAAGTCATCATCATCTCTACCGTCAAAATCGTCGTCATCATTATCATCGTCATCATCATCATCATCAATTAAGAGCAAAAAAATATTCATAAAACCGATTACACTGTCCTCACCACAAAAACCAACCACCATATGTGACTATTTCACTACTCCCTCCTCTTCATCATCATCATCATTACAACCACCATCATCATCATCAATACCATCATCATCATCGTCAGCGAGAACATCATCATTAACATCATCATCGTCGTCGTCTTCGTCATTCCGAACGGTAAAGCCGAATTTTCCATCATCATCAACGTCATTGTCGCCGCCATCACTTAAAGTTTTGAATAATAATAATAACAATAATAACAATAATAATAATAATAATAATAATAACAATAAGGACGTCTTTAATATTTTCACCATTGATTCTCCCTACAATAATAATAATGATGTTTATAATAATAATAATTATAACATGAATAACAATAATAAAAGCTTTCTCTACAGCTCTGACGATTCCTTCAACATTAGCATTAGTAACGACAATAATAATAATATAAATAATAATTATAATAATAATTATAATAATAATTATAATATAAATAATAATAATAATAATAAAAGCTCCTTCATTCCATCTTACAAAAGGAAAGTGGTCATGTCCAGAATTCCCGACCTGGTAATTCCCGAAACCGTTCCCATGGGTTATGATGACGATGATGATGATCATGATGATGATGATGATGGTAGTGCCGCTACTACTACTTCTGCTACTACTATAGCTGCTGCTGCTGCTACTACTACTACTGCTTCTAATACTAATAACGGTAATAGTGATTGTAAAATTTCAATTGAAGTTTCAAGGAGTTTATATGGGAATAAAATACATAACAACACTACTACTGCTACTACTACTACTACTACAAATAATAATAATATAAATATTAAGAATAATAATAAAGTTTTTAAGAATACTAAAGCAACGACTACTACTACTAATAATAATAGTAGTAGTAGTAATAATGATAATAGTAATAATAATAATAATAATAGGAGTGGCGGTAGTAGTAGTAGTAGCGCTAAGGGCGATGGTGATGGGGACGCTGACGACGATGGTGTTGATGATAATGATTTAGTCGCCAAGGCCTTGAAAATATTCTTCTCGCCTAGTCCAAAAAGAAGGAAAATAATTAATAATAATAATAAAATAATTAATAATAATAATAAAAATATAATTAATAATAATACTATAATAAATAATAATGATATAATTAATAATAATATAAAGAGAATAAACAACACTGATAATAATAATAATAGCAATAAAAAAATGTCCAGACTTGAATTTTTTGACATGACCTTTGTTAGTAATGATGACGACGATGAGGATAATAATAATATAAAAAATACTACTACTAATATGAATAATAATAATAATGATGATGATAATCTTTCAATTGACTACAGTGATGTATATATAGCTGGTATTAATAATAATAATATTAATAATGGAGATGATGATGATGATGTTCTTTTAATTGACGACGACGTAATGAAATGTATAAATGATAGTGATGATGACGATGCTGCCGACGGGAAAGATGGTGGTGGTGGTGGCGGAAAAGATGGTGGTGGTGGCGGAAAAGATGGTGGTGGTGACGGAAAAGATGGTGGTAATGATGGTGGTGGTGGTAGTGGAAAAGATGGTGGTGGTGGAAAAGATGGTGGTGATGATGGTGGTGGTGGGGGAAGAGATAGGCAGTTTGATGATGTGGATGATAGCTTCAATATGTTAGTTTAGTCATTTATATTTTAATCATTATGTATGTATAATTATATTATTTATATATATATATATATAATATTCTATACATATTATGATCTATTATCAACATATATATATATATATATATATATATTTATATATATATATATATATAATTTTTAGATGTAGTGTGTGGGTATAAATTATTTTTGTGTTGTTGTCAAGAGTTTGGCGGTTTATTGGAGTTGCATGTGTTGATTGCAAGTGAGATGTGATGACTCCTCTTTGTGTATTGCATTGTGAGACGTATGGATGGTGAAGTGGTCGTAACGCTGATATACATACGTATGCTGTTGTTGACGCGCACAGTCGTCAGTAGGGCTTTTAAATTCTTATATTACATGATTACGCTTCAGAGTAGGAGTGTATCGTGTGTGGAATATCCTCTTTAGGAGTACAGTTTCTTTCTTTAAGACCAATTGTGATGTCTTACAATTGTTGTAGTATATCCTGAGTTTTATTTTGTTAGGGTCATTGATTTGGGTAACATTTCTTTTCATGATTTGTTTGAGGACGGGCATTAGGGGCTCGATCACATTAATCCTGTCTCTTATTTATTATCTGTAATTTTGAGGAGCAAATAAAATTTCGTTTCGTTTCATTTTATGTGCCGTTGGCATATAATTTCTGTAATATAGGATTATGTCGTTGTTGTTTTTAAATATATTGCTATCTTGCTGTAGTCTTCGTGGAATGGTCCTCTCAGTGAATGATGTTTTGTAACCATTGCTTACTAGTAGATTAGTAATTCTTTTCAGTTCCGTATTGCGATCTTCAGTTGAGGATGAATGCATGAATGGCGCGGTTCACGGAGGATTTTAATTGTATTTACTTTTAATTGTTCCGTACATTCACATGACTCATTTAAACAAATGTCTTTATTTGTTGCTTTGACGTATGTAGTCGGCAGTTTTAAATCTTTGTTCGTCATGCGTTACCAAAACATCCAGAAATGCTTTCGTGCTCGATGGTGAAATTTTGATCGGTTCAGGGCTGCTAGTAGCTGGTTGACTTGTTCCGGATCATCGTATGCGACAATGATATCGTCAACATATCTGACATGAATGTTTGTTTTTAATCCTGGAATGTCTCTAAACCTTTTTAATTCCTGATTGTCTCTAAACCTTTTTAATTCCTGATTGTCTCTAAACCTTTTTAATTCCTGATTGTCTCTAAACCTTTTTTAATCCCGGAATGTCTCTAAACCTTTTTAATTCCTGATTGTCTCTAAACCTTTTTAATTCCTGATTGTCTCTAAACCTTTTTAATTCCTGATTGTCTCTAAACCTTTTTTAATCCCGGAATGTCTCTAAACCTTTTTTAATTCCTGATTGTCTCTAAACCTTTTTAATTCCTGATTGTCTCTAAACCTTTTTTAATCCCGGAATGTCTCTAAACCTTTTTAATTCCTGATTGTCTCTAAACCTTTTTTAATCCCGGAATGTCTCTAAACCTTTTTAATTCCTGATTGTCTCTAAACCTTTTTAATTCCTGATTGTCTCTAAACCTTTTTTAATCCCGGAATGTCTCTAAACCTTTTTTAATTCCTGATTGTCTCTAAACCTTTTTAATTCCTGATTGTCTCTAAACCTTTTTTAATCCCGGAATGTCTCTAAACCTTTTTAATTCCTGATTGTCTCTAAACCTTTTTTAATCCCGGAATGTCTCTAAACCTTTTTAATTCCTGATTGTCTCTAAACCTTTTTTAATCCCGGAATGTCTCTAAACCTTTTTTAATTCCGGAATGTCTCTAAACCTTTTTAATTCCGGATTGTCTCTAAACGTTTTGCTCTCAGGATGTCCTAAAAAGAAATTTGCGAACGGGACACAACTCGGTATGAATTCTACCAAAGTAAAAAAAAAGTTGAAAAAAGAGACTTTAAATTGATTAATGCCAACAATTCGTCTCCTCCCAACACACGCACGCACACACACGCACACACACATATACATATATATAAATATCGCATATATTTTTCATAAATTTATTATTATTAACATTAACAATTTCTTCATAAGTAAATTATTTCATTTCCCCTTACTGACACGGCAGCCTGCCTAGGTTTAGAGACAAAAGACAACAACGAAACAATAACAACAACAATAATAATAATAATATCAATAACAATAATAATAATAGTAATAATAATAGACCGGCTTATGCTTACGTTGGTGTAGTTAGAGATAGGCAGGAGAGAAGGAAGATGGTGTCTGTGGCCTGTGTTGAATGCAAGAAGGTTGTTGGTTGTTCTTTCTTTTTTCATTCACTCTTTCATCCATTCATTCACTCTTTCATCCATTCATTCACTCTTTTATGTATTTATTCATTCATTCTTTCATTCATTCTTTCATTCCTTTATCCTCTTTTTCATTAGTTGATTAACTCATTTCTTCTTTCTTTCGTTCAGTGGTTCGAGTCGCTGGGCCTTGCAGAGGAAGAAGTGAACGAACGAATGAAGAACTGTCGACACAAATCCCTCTTCCAAGCCCCCCCTAGCACGCCTCAGGGCTACTGGACTATCGGAATGCCCGACACACAGATGTGCCAGGAGAGAAGTGGTTGGTTGGTTGGTTGATTAGTTGGTTGGTTGGTTGGTTGGTTGGATGGTTGGTTGGTTGGTTGATTGATTGATTGATTGAAATTTTTTCTCAATCATTAACTCATCAAATTTTTCACCAGGATATCTAAACATCGAATCACCTCAAAACAACAACAACAACAACAATAATAATAATAATAATAATAGTAATAATATTAAGTCAGTGAAGCATTTTAGAAGGAAGAAACCGCTTACAAAAATATTTAATTGAATTTCATCTCCATCATTACCATTACTTTAAGTGTATCATATTGAAAAAGATGATGATGATGATGATGACAGCGATGATGATGATGATGATGATGACAGTAATGATGATGTACATGAGGATGATGATGGTGATGATGATGATGACGACGACGATGATGATGATGATGAAGACATTTAATTACATTCGATACTTCGTTCTTGTTTTTGTGTTTATGTTGAATTTTTCATTTGAATGTTTTTTAGGATGGTTTTAATTAATATTTGAAATGTCAGTCTCTTCTACATTGATCAATCAATCAGTCAATCAATTAATCAGTCAATCAATCCATCGAGCAATCAATCAATCATTCAATCGATCAATCCATCAGTCAATCAATCGATCGATCGATCCATGTTTATCATCATTATTACTAAGACTTGGACCCCTTGCACTTATTCAGTCATATTAATTCATTCCTAATTACTGTAGGGCTTTGTTTTGTTTAGTTGTAATTATAGGTCAGAATTTATGTTGGAAACTATTTTAAAAACTTTAAACGCAACAAAGTTGGAGGAGCCAAATGGCCTCTATACGGTTCAAATAGTCCAATTCCTGAAGTTAGAATGGAGAAAGAGAGAGACTACAAAAGTTTTACGATTTTGTCGTGAAAATTTAGAAGGAGGAAAAGGTTAATGGGGTAGTAAAGTTCAAGAATACCTTTAATACACTCATCAATTATTCAAAACAATACATTCATATATATATAAATGCCAATGTATGTATGTATATATATATGAGTGTATATGCGAGTGTTTAAGTATAAATATATATATATATATAAACACTGCATTATTTATGGTCTTTAACCAGCAAATATATAATCATATTTATAGAATCTATACTATATATAATATAATATGTTATGTTATATATATATATATGTTTGTTAAATATATACATATAAATATATATATATAAGTTATACCTGCCAGCCCTATTTTTAACATTTCACTTTTAATCTATTCAACTTAATTTAAATTTTGCTTTGATCTCATTCCATTGGATTTACGTTTGCCTGTTGGGTGCCGGAAAGTTTAAAAAAATGGCGAATTAGTGATTAAATTATATCTTTAGTTATTTTTTAAAAACTATTTCTACTTAACTTTTTACTGGGCTTTTCTTTTATAATTTATTTACTATAAAAATTGTTAGATGTATTTAAATTTTAAATTTAAAAATTTTAATCCAATGTTTTTAAATTTTTAATCAATGAGAATTAAAATTAAAATAATTTTAAAATAATTTTAAAAAATTGTTAGTTTGTGGGTCTTCCATTTTGGAGTTAAATTTGATTAATAATTAACTATTTAATTATTAATATTTAATTAGTTATTAATTATTTATTATTTAAATTGATTGATTATATTAATTAATAGTGAAATAAATAAATAAATATGAATTTTTGTTAATAATTCAATGAAAAAATTTGTACATAACTTTGCTTCTATATAATTTGCACTTTTTAATTAAATTAATATTTAAAGTTTATTTTATTTTTTAATTAAAATATTGGTTATTATTTGAAAGATTTTTCCAAAATAAACCTTCTAATTATAATATTAAATTAAGTTATTTTAGTTTAGCGTATTAACTATTAATCTAATAAATAAAGAATCATTATTAAACGATAATTGTATTAACATTTTAAAAAATCATTAATAATAATAATAAAATCAATAATAATAATAATAATATCATTAATAATAAATGTAGATTTTTATCTACATTTTAATTCAATTAACAACACACACGTGTGCGTTTTATACAGAAGTTTATAAATTAGAGAAATTTGTAGCCACTCTTTACAGATATTTACATGAGGAATATTTTAAAGTATTTTTCGACGTATTTATATTAAAAATAATTTATTTAATTAATTAATTTATTTAAATATATATATATATATTTTATTTTGTATTGTTTCAAGTCTGTATTAGTGTCTCTTTGTGTTAGTTTTGTTAATAGAATGTTTAAAAGAAAAACTTTAATTTAAATTTTAGATTTGATTCAGTTTAAAATTAAACTGATAAATTCTTATTAACCAAAATCTCTAAACTAAACTAAACTAAGAGTATAATTTTTTATTGAAAATGGTGACTATATCTTCACACAGTACCATGGCAAACAACAACAACAACTCAATGATGTCTATTAAAACCAACAACAACAGCAATAGCGACACATCAACAACTATGTCTTCTACATCGGCTGTTTCAGTGCCTGCAACCTTTCAACAACAACATCAACATCTTCACCAACAACAACAACAGCATCAACAACACACCAACAAATCGCTATCAACTGCCAATAACAGCAACTCAATAAACTACGACAGCAACAACGGTAATATGAATAATGGAGTTTACAACGACAACAACAACAACATCAACAACATCAGCAACAACAACATTAATAACCACAGCAACAACTACTTCTCGGACCTCCTCCGATCCAAAGACAAAATAATAAAGTCGCAGGCCAAAAAGATCGAACAGTTGGAAAGCGAAATAACCCGATTCCAACTAATCAGGCAGTCCCTAACTTCCCAACTGGCCCTGGCCAACTACCAATTACAAATGTCCTTCTCGCTAGCTCCTCCCATCGGGGCTGTCAGTCACGTCACTAAAAATGGCGAGGGGGGTGGGGGTCCAGATGACGACGATGAGGATGATGATGATAATGGTGGTGATGGAGTGAGAGGAGTATGCCATAGAGAGAGGTTGTTTTAAAAAATTAGTTTCTTTATATATTTTTTTCTATTTGTTTTTTTTTTTTTTTTTTGATCGTTCATGGTTTGTATGTGTTGGTGTGTGTGTTTGTTTGTGAGTGTGTTGGTGTGTGTGTTGGTGTGTGTGTGTGTGGTTTTTGTTTTTTAATTTGTTGAAAGGTTGTCTAATTATAGTAATACACACGCATACATACATACATACACCTGTACACACATACCCACACACACACACATATTCATACACATACATACATACACACAAACATACACACACATACATATCCAAACACACACATACATATCCA